AGAGAAAGGAACAGAAGGAAGGGAAAAGGAGAGGAAGAAAGGGAGGGGGAAAAGAGTTGGAGAGGTTAGAAAGGGGGGGAGAAGGGAGAAGGGGGAAAGGAAGGGGAAGTAGAGAAGAGAAAGGAGAGGAGGAAAGAAGAAAGTAGAAAAGGTTAGAAGAAGGCAGGGAAGGGAAAGAGAGAAGAAGGAGAAGAAGGATTGTTGTAAAATAAGGGAAAAGAAAGAATAAAAGAGCAACCCTGAATATAATTTTAAAAAATGTTTTTTCTTTAGAAAATTTATGTATATGTGGGATTAATTATGGATAAGAGAATGTACATTTACAATATATTTATAAGAAATAAAATATAAAACTTTTTTTCAAAAAAAAAAAAAGAATTAACACCAAAAAAATGATGTCCTTATCATCATGGGGGATTGGAATGCTAAAGTAGGAAGTTAAAAGATAACCGGAAAAATAGGCAAGTTTGGCCTTGGAGTACAAAATGAAGCTGATAGAATTTTGTCAAGAGAATACAATGGTCATAGCAAACACTCTTTTCAAACAACCCAAGAGATGACTCTATACATGGACATCACCAGACGGTCAACACAGAAATCCGACTGACTATGTGCTCTGCAGTCAAAGATAGAGAAGCTCTATATAGTCAGTTAAAACAAGATCAGGAGCTGACTGTGGCTCAGATCATGAGCTTTTCATTACATAATTTAGACTTAAATTGAAGAAAGTAGGGAAAAGCACTAGGCCACTCAGGTATGAGCTAAATCATATCCCTGATGAATATACAGTAGAGGTGACAAATAGATTTAAGGAATTAGATCTGATAGACAGAGTGCCTGAAGAACTATGGAAATCCTTAGGGCCTTAGGAAATCCGAGCAACAACAAAGCTAGTGGAGGAGACAGTATTCCAGCTGAGCTATTCAAAATCTTAAAAGACGATGCAATAAAAGTGCTACACTCAATCTGCCAGCAAATTTGGAAAACTCAACAGTGGCCACAGGATTGGAAAAGGTCAGTTTACATTCCAATTCCAAAGAAAGGCAATGTCAAAGAATGTTCAAACTATCACACCATTGCACTCATTTCAAATGCTAGTAAGGTTATGCTTAAAATCCTACAAGCTAGGTTCCAGCAGTATGTGGATCAAGAACTACCAGAAGTACAGGCAGGATTTTGAAGAGGCAGGAGAACTAGAGATCAAATTGCCAGCATACACTGGATCATGGAGAAAGCTAGGGAGTTCCAGAAAAACATCTAGTTCTGCTTCATTGACTATGCTAAAGCCTTTGATTGTGTGGATCACAACAAACTGTCGCAAGTTCTTAAAGAGATGGGAGTACCTGACCATCTTATTTGTCTCTTAAGAAACCTATATGTGAGTCAAGAAGCAACAGTGAGAACTAGACACGGAACCACTGATTGGTTCAAAATTGAGAAAGGAGTTTGGCAAGGCTGTATACTGTCACCCTGCCTATTTAACTTATATACAGAGCACATCATGAGAAAGGCGGGGCTAGATGAATCAAAAGCTGGAAATAAGATTGCCGGGAAAAATATCAACAACCTCAGATATGCAGATGATACCACTCTAATGGCAGAAAGCGAAGAGGAACTAAAGTGCCTCTTGATGCGGGTGAAGAAGGAGAGTGCAAAAGTTGGCTTGAAACTCAACATTAAAAAAACTAAGATCATGGCATCTGGCCCTCTTAATTCCTGGCAAATAGATGGGGAAGAAATGGAGGTAGTGACAGATTTTATTTTCCTGGGCTCCAAGATCACCGCAGATGGGGACTGCAGCCAAGAAATTAAAAGGCACTTGCTCTTGGGGAGGAAAGCTATGGCAAATATAGACAGCATACTAAAAAGCAGAGACATTACCCTGCCAACAAAAGGGTGTATAGTCAAGGCTATGGTTTTCCAGTTGCAATGTATGGCTGTGAAAGTTGGACCATTAGAAAGGCTGAGCGCCAAAGAATTGAGACCTTTGAACTATGGTGCTAGAGAAGACTCCTGCAAGTTCCTTGGACTGCAAGGCTGGTCAGTCCTAGAGGGGATCAACCCTGACTGCTCTTTAGAAGACCAGGTCCTGAAGATGAAACTCAAGTACTTTGGCCACCTAATGAGAAGGAAGGACTCACTAGAGAAGTGCCTAATGCTGGGAAAGATTGAGGGCAAAAGAAGAATGGGATGACAGAGACTGAGGCGGCTGGATGGAGTCATTGAAGCAGTAGGCATGAGTTTAAATGGACTCCAGAGGATGGTAGAGGACAGGAAAGCCTGGAGGAACGTTGTCCATGGGGTCGCGATGGGTCAGACATGACTTTGCAACTAACAACAACAATGCCCAGTCAAGGTTAACCATCCCGGAATACCAAGTGGACGAAAACACCTGAAGATGTTGCCCACATGACACCAATTGGGATGGGGATTGGTCATTTACCCTAGGTCTTTCGGGGAGGGATTTGGGGATATTTTCAATATGTAACTTTCATGCCTTTTGCTTCAGATCTTGCTTTTCTTTCGTTCAAACACCACTCCTGCTCAAAAAATTTAGTCCGGTTGCCCCAGCTTCAAAGCGGTCATTTTTCAATGGCCACCACCCCCGCTGCCGGTTCAAAAAGCAGCCTCCGACCTTTCGAGGAACATGCCTGTTTCTCTTGGTCGTCTGAGGCACCTCTCCTTCTTCACTGTCCCTACAGTTCTGGTCCAAAGACCCCCCGATAGTGGTTTGTCCAGCTGGATTTTCACAGGGCTCGTTATTTTTCCAGGCGGTCTCGCAGCAATGCTTCTGGTTTCTCCCATTTTCTTGTCGATTCTTAATCTGTCTTTTACAGTTCTGCTTTTGGTACTTGGGGAATTTTTTTCCTTTTCCATAAAGACAGATGTAAAGAATGAATTAAGGAGCTCTGCTTTCTCCCTGCTGCTCATCACTTCCTTGCCATCTACTCCCATTAGTGGCCCAATTGTTTCCTTGAGTTTTTTTGGGTTTTTTACTTGTTGAAATAATTTTTTAAATTTATTTTTGACATTTATTGCACATCTTACTTCATTCTGAGACTTAGCTTTCCTGACTTTTGTCAAGAATGACTCGCACTTTCACCTACATTTCCACTTCACCTGCAGGTTGACAATAAATGGGAGGGGGGTGGTTAGAATGCAAAGGAAGGAGAATGGTATTCAAGCATCCGTCAGCACAATGAGACGTTGCAGATGTCCCGATGTTGCACTATTTCTCATAACAAAATGAGCATGTATGATTGGTGGACGTTGCTTTTGCTTTTACACGGGAAACACAGAGCTGGTTTCGCTTCTTCTGTGCCAATGTGGTTTATTCAGTAAAGTTTTATACTCTTGGTAAAACAATGTCCCAGGAATTTCTTGTTCTAGAAACTGGACAGTTTCGCTAACTGGACAGTTGATATCTTTGCAGATTCAGCCTCTATGCTGGCTTTGTGCCTTAGTTATGTGTCTTTTCTTTCCAGTTTTTATACTTCTCTTTTGTTTCAATTTATCAGAGAGTTCTTTATACAACTGTGCTGGCTTCTACTTGGATCTCTTAATTTTCTTTTTCAGTGGTATTGTGCTGGATTGGACTTTCATAATTGCATTTTTCAGAGTTTCCGAAGCTTCTTACATTGTTTTTCACTTTAAGATTTTCATCCATGGAATCCTGAGCTCTTAGTTTAAGTTAGCTCTTTTAGAAACTAAGCCACTAGTCTGATTTTTCTTGTGTCTGCATTGTATTGAGAATTCCAGTATGACACCTCACTTTCCCCCAAGGTTCCTGCAACTTCAAACCCCTCTATTATTTCATCTCTGTTAGTAAGAATTAAGTCCAGTATAGCTGACCCTCTGGTTCCCTCCTCTACCTTTTGGATGAGAGAAAGTCTTTCAGAAGGTCCAACTTTCTGAAAGAAATTTTAATAGATCTTTCTGCATTTTATTATTAAGGACTTTTCATCATGAATCTCTATCTTCTCTCTCTGCCACAGATCCTGATACAATCCCTTTGTATTTGGCACAGCTTTGGCCAGGACTAGCTGAGAACAGGTACTACATTTTGGACTGACAGATGAATGGGCACTTCCATATTTCTAGCTGTGAAATCCCTATGCATTCTGCATGTGCCTCCAAAATGGCAGAATAGAACCTGCTTCTCTCAGGCTTTTTTCTTATCCAACTTGCAATACTTAAATGAGATTCCACTGCCAATTCCATTTGTTTCAATATGTAACAGTGAGAAAAGCAATGTTTACTGCTTTGTCTTAGGCAGCAAAAGGTTTTGGAGCAGCATGATACACTGGATATAAGATCAATCAAGCAAACAAACAAGCTCAACAAGTAATCGATTGGCGTTGTAATTAGGAGCAAAATACTACTGAACTCTTTCAGCTTCTGTTTAACCAAATATGCCTTTGATTCAACAGCAGCATGTCTCCGACTTCACAACTATATTAAAACCACAGAATATGGTTTTCAATGGAAACTACTGTAAATTTTAGCCTAGGGACTTGTCAGCTTAGAAACTAAATTAGTAATTGAATCAGAAATCTCATTACCTTTATTTTAACTTTATTCTTTATTTTAACTTCTTTATTTTAAATACGTATGCCCTGGCGTCAACCTCGACTTTTCTCAACTACACCGTGCTTTATCAATGTATAGAAGTGTTTTTCGACTTCCCCGGAAAATCGGCTACAAACTGCAAAACAATTTCAAGGGTTTTATTAAGAGCCTAAGTGAACGAAGCTGTTCAGACCCAGCGGTAGGAGAGAATACAAAACGAGAGGAGAGGGCATGGTCTGAAAATGGAACACTCTATGTTGTTATTTTCCCCCCATCTGCTACCATCGATCATATCCTGCTTATGAGTGAAAAACAGACGCCGAAGGAGAAAAGTCCAACTTCAGAGTACCAAATGACAACTCTACCGTTTAGATCTACCAGCTTTCAGAGAAACTACGCGTCCCTACATTCCTCATTAAATAAAAGCCATCCCGAGATGCCTTGCGCGCGGAAGTGAACGTGAGGTCGGAGCGCGCTTCTGGGATATCGGGTCGGTGATGGACACGGCAGGGTTACTGAAGGGGGCCACAGCCATGGGATCGCGAGCTCGGCGGAAACTTCTTACGGCGGAAGAAGCGGAACTATTTGAACTTGCGCAGGCTGCGGGGAGCGGCGTTGATCCGGAAGTGTTTAAGTGAGTGGTCGGAGGCTGAGGACTTGGAAGCTTGTGGACATTACTTTATTAGGAATTATAGGAGCATTATTTCACCCGCTTTTCTTCCCCTCCAGAAGGAGGTAGATGGAAGATAGCAACGGGAGATCTTTTCACCCAATTAAATTGTAGTTGCTAAAGTATTTAATTTGTGGTGTTCTCGATAGATAACATTGAATCCTCAAGAGGTGTGACAACCGTTCAGTCTGAACATTTAAGTTTTGCCTGCAATTATAACCCTAGCCTGTATAATAAAATGCCTTGGAGTTCCTATTTCTTAGACTACAATTTAATATATAGTTTGGAGATAATAAAAACTGATAAGAGTTGTATAGGGCCCAGCTAGTAATATTATGGTGTTATCAGTGAACTGAAGGTGAGGATCAGGTTAACAGAATAACAGAGTTAGAAGAGACCTTGGAGGTCTTCTAGTCCAACCTGCTCAAATAGGAGACCCTATAGTATAGGGCAGTGATGGCGAACCTTTTCGGCATCGAGTGTCAAAAAGGTTGTGCAGAAACATTGTGCGGGTATATGCACGCTCATCAAGGCCGTGTTCCTGAAAAGCCAAACTTCCTTGTTCTGGTGTGCAATGGCACCTGACAATCAGCTGGCTGGTGCACATGTGCACACCGCTTTTCGCCACTGCCACACACATGGACAGCTGATCATCGTGTGCACATGCACGCCAAAAACCCGGAAGGCAAACCAGCAAGGCTGTGTGTGCTGGGCGACATGGCTTCGTGTGCCACTTTGGGCACATGTGCCATAGAGTCACCATCACGGGTATAGGGTCTGTACCATTGCAAACAAATGGTTGTCCTGTCTCTGATGGAGCACCTACAACTTCTGAAGGCAAGCCATTCCATTTGTTGATTGCTCTCACTGTTAGGAAATTTCTCCTTTGTTCTAGGTTGCTTTTCTCCTTGGTTAGTTTCTGATAAGTGTGCACCAATATGATGAATCTTCAAAGACAGTCAAATCTACTGTGCAGTGGAAACTTACTGAGTAGAAAATCAAACCTGCCAAAGAATCTACAATGTATATGAGCAAGAAATGGTAGTATAAAAGGCAGGATATAAGATAGGCAAAAATTAGCTGGGTCTTTAGAATGGAAAAAGGAAGAATACAAGCTGTAAAAATAGCTGCAATAGAAAATGGCTAGCCAGAGAAAATTAACTGAACGGGATAACAGGAAAGATAACTGAATTGGAAAACAGGAAAGGCAAAGCTAAAACTGAAAAACAGGAAAATCTATTGTTCTAAGAATCTATTAAAAAAAGGCCCCGAACTCAAAACAGGCAACTGAGCATGTCTAATTAGCTGATGAATATTATTTGACACACAATGCATAAATTATCTCCTAATTTTAATGGGCATGTGATGTATGATTTAGAATGTAGCAGGTAATATATAGGAGGTGATCGGGAAAAGTATAACCTTATAGTACCTCAGCCAATGGGGAGCGAGGAGGGATGTGGTGACCGGGACAGGGTTGTATAAAGAAGGAAGTATTTTGTGTTGAAACTTTGGGGAGAACCAGGCTTTGATAAGCTTCTCTCCCTATTTCATGCAATAAATGAAACAAAAGCCAACTGTGTCTTGGCTCTGGTTATTGGTCAGGCAACCTTGCCTCTGATTACAAAGGAGAGTAGCCAGAAGTACATAACAGCTTCTATTCAGTACTTCTTGTCTTGCCTTCACGTGCTTTGGAAAATAGGTTGAGTCTCTCTTCTTTGTGGCAGTCCCTCAAATATTGGAACACTGCTATCATGTCACCCCTTAGTTCTTCTTTTCAATGGACTGGATTGGACTAGACTGGATTTGACTTGACTTCTTTATTGGCCAAGTGTGATTGGACACAAGGAATTTGTCTTTGGTGCATAAGCTCTCAGTGTACATGAAAAATACCTTCATCAAGAATCATAAGATACAAGACTTAGTGATAGTCATAGGATACTAAATAAGCAATCAAATCATACTAGGAAACTAAATAAAACAATATAAATCGTAAAGATACAAGCAACAAGGTTATAGTCATAAGTAGGAGGAGATAGGTAATGGGAAGGATGAGAAAAATAATAGTAATACAGTCTTAGTAAATAGTTTGACAGTATTGTGGGAATTAGTTGTTTAATTAGTTGAATGGCATGCGGGGAAAAACTGTCCTTGTGTCTAGTTGTTCAATGCTCTATAATGTTATTTTGAGGATAGAAGTTGAAACAATTTATTTCCAAGATGTGTAGATATTTTCACAGCTCACTTTTTGACTTGTGCAGTATATAGATCCTCAATGGAAGGCAGGTTGGTAGCAATTCTTTTTTCTGCAGTTCTAATTATCCATTGAAGTCAGTTACAGAGGTGCAGATGACAGGCTCAATAATTCCTCTGTAGAACTCAATCAGCAGCTCTTTAGACAACCTGAACTTTCTGAGTTGGCACAGAAAGAACATTATTTGTTGTGCTTTTTTGATGAAGTTTTTGATGTTAGGTGTCCATTTTAAGTCTTGAGATATGATAGAACCTAGAAACTTGAAGGTCTCTACCGTTGATACTGTGTTGTCTAGTATTGTAAGAGGTGGTAGTATAGGAGGGTTTCTCCTAAAATCTACCACCATTTCTATGGTTTTGAGTGTCTTTAGTTCAAGATTGTTCTGGTCGCACCACAAGGCTAGTTGTTCAACCTCCCGTCTGTATGCAGATTCATCATTGTCTCAAATGAGACCAATCAATGTTGTATCATCTGCAAATTTCATTACTTTAACAGTCTTTTAATACTTTTAACAATCTTTTGAGATGCAGTCATTGGTGTATAGAGAGAAGAGGAGTGGAGAGAGCACACAGCCCGGGGGGGGAGGGGGGCTCTGTGCTGATTGTATAGGTATCTGATGTGATTTTGCCTAGCTTCCCTAGAGTAGACTAGATATACCAAATTCCTGCAACTGTTCTTCATATGTTTTAGCCTCCAGTCCCCGAATCATCTTTGTTGCTCTTTTCTGCACTCTTTCCAGAGTCTCAACATCTTTTTTATATTGTGGGTTGGTTTCTCTCGCCTAAGTGTAAAATCTTATTTTTTTTCATCACTGAATTTCATTTTGTTTGATTGGACCCAGTGTTCTAGTCTGTCAAGATCCTTCTGGATATTCACCCTATCTTCTGCTTGGTGTTCTCCACAAATTTGATGAGTTCCCCTTCTATCTCCTCATCTACATTGTTTATAAAGATATTACAGAGTACTGGGCCTAAGACAGGTACCTTGAGGTACCCCACTGCATAATTACGTCCATGTAGGTATAGTTCCATTGAGGACTACATGTTGAGTGCAGTCAACTAATTGCAAATCCATCTGGTGGTGATGATGTCTAACCCATATTTTTCTATCTTATGAAGTAGTAGGTTGTTGTCTATTCTCTTTATTTTCCAATCTTTTTATAAAGAATCTGCCTGAAAATGTATATATAAATTGTAGAATGAAAAAATAATGGATACAATATATCACCTTGACACAAATACTGTGTTTCCTCAAAAATATGACCTCTCCTGAAAATAAGCTCCAGCCTGTTTTTTACGTGTACGCCTAAGATAAGCCATACCCAAAAAATAAACCCTAGTATAGAGTGGGCATGGCCAGCATAGGTGGCAAGTGTGTGGGGGCCGATGGCATCTGGCAGCTGCCCGCGTAGCACAGGTGAGTTTTATCTGTGCAAGCAGCAGGTGGAAACAGAGAAGGGGGAGAGGCAGGAGATCTGGATGTGCTGCACAGGCTGCGGGAAAGCCAAGCAGAGGTGGGCTGGAACAATAGGCAGCTGTGGGAGGCTCATATTTGCACAGCGATATCGGCAGCAGACAGAGCGGGGTGGAGGCATGCGATCCGGACATGCCGCAAGGGCTGCAGGAAAGCCAAACTATGGTGGGCTGGAGTGGCGGCCAGTTGTGGGACGCTCATTGCATCTCTCGGCTTGCCTGCAGCCCGCATGGCATGTTGGGATTGCCTGCCTTCCACTCCATGCCTTCTGCTGTGCGCAGCCCTAGAGTGCACCAACCAAGGGATTGGCAGACTGCAGCTGCTGCCAGATACTGTTGTTCCCCGGCTCATGTGTGTGCTGGGGGGGGAGCGCCCAGCCGGGCTGATCACCCTGAAATCATGTTTCCCCAAAAATAAGCCCAATTGCTTATTTTGGGGCCCAAAAGAACATGGTTGTCAGCCCTGGAGTCATCTTTACTTGGAGATTTCAGGACTGCCACAGTGGTGGATGGGCAAGCTGTGGGAAAGGGAAGGAGGGATGGAGACAGTGTGGGGTATATAGCCATAACAACATATTTTCCCTTGGGAGTCAAGGACATTCAGCCTGCACCTGGAGAGGCGTGACTGGGAGTCAATTACAATTGGGACAGCGACCTGATTGGACCATGTAATGCCCATGTGGATGCAGGGGAAGGAACTTTGACTTTACTTTGGGTGGAGAAAACCTGGGGGCTTCAGATTTGGGTTTTTCCAGATATGCCAATATGACATTTCTAATAAATTCAAGCTTTGAGGAAAATGCCAGCCTTGGAGTTTTGATTTTGTTGGGGGTGTTACTTGGAACCCTGCTATTAACCCGAATCTCTTCTTAAAACCTACCAAACAGCTCCCACGCCACGGGTTTGATGTCCAGAGCCCTGAGCCCTGAGTGCCTTCACGGTCTACCAGGTAGCGCAAAGACTCAGGGAAGATGGAAGAGAAAACAATGACCACGGAGGGAGCAAATGGGAGTAGCTTGGAGATCGTCTGTGGGACCATCTGCTACCCATCGGCAGCTGTGGTAGCTGAAGCGGAGGCTGTAGAGGCCGAGCATTGGCAGGGCGCTTGGCCCAAAGAGCTGGCACCCTGGCAGATCACACAGATGGATCCTTCCAAGTGGGGTGAAGCTACAGGACTCCCACCACCGCAGGAGTCGGTTGGCGTGCCGGCCTCCAAGAGCCCCAGATCGAATCGGGAC